GGGGGGGGGTCGCGGTGCGGGGTCTGGCGTTGGGAGGGGGGGTGGGGGGCGAGGCGGTACGCGGTAGATTGCGTTGATGGAAAAAAAATGGAGAGGTTGTTGTTGATGATGGTACGCATAGGCGTGTGTTGCAGTAGAGGGAGGATGCCGCTCTTGCAGAAGGAGGATGCCGATCGTGGATCTCGATGTCGATCCTCAATCTCGTGACTTCTTCCGTTGGTTTGAGTTGCTCCCTCCTGGTTAGACCGTGGAGGTCAGGAGTGCCGAAGGCGCCGGTACGATGCCAGATTTAGCGATAGACTTTCCCCTTTAACTACAGTGGTGTTGTGACTGTGGGGGTTCAAGGCCAGGAACACCGGATTTAGCGATATGCTTCCCCCTTTGAATACAGTGATAACATGGGTACGGTTGTGTTGTTGACGGTGACGCGGTAGTTCTTGAGGTGGGGGCGGAAAGCAACCCGAAAATATGAACAGTTCACGACAACTTGTAGCGTAGCGTTCTCCTCTGTCTGGGCATTCATGCGTATGTCGAACGTGCTTGAAGTTGGTGGGGAGGCGGCCAATTGCTTGAGAGAAAAAATCAGTACCGTTTCGCGATACTGTATGCATGCATACCTGGAGCAAAAACTGTGTTGCCCCTGCGCCAAGAACACGCAAGTTTGGAGGTGAAGTACGAGAGTCTCGAGATAAAGTACGACGACTTCGAGATGAAGAACAAGATGGTCGTGCTGCACGAGTGTTCGCGTTCACTCATCGCGTTCTGGTTCTTGGTGACTCGTATATTATCGTTACGGCAGGCGAAGTGGCACCACGTGTACATTTTTCAGGAGCAAGAACGTTGCACCAAGCTTTCCCCCCCTCTGTCTCGTTTCGGCCTCGATTCGCGGTTTTTGCGCATGCATGGCGTTGCGCTTTGGGTACAAGAGGTGCACTTTCCACTGGCAAGATCAAGGTGTCCATAGCCAGTTGGTGGCGGAAGTGTGAGCCGCGGACATTTTTTGGTTGCGGGGGACGTGTTGCAGCGTCATCGACGGGCAAGCGTAGCGGAAACGATACACGCCCCATATACCATACGTTGCGGAAGATAACACACCCCCTGGGCCAATGGCCGAAGCTCGATTTCTCTGCAGCGAAGACAACAATGAGGGTGCCGAAAATGGCGGCGATGTAGTCTAACCGATGCTTCGAGGGAACGTGTTGTTTGTCGATTTTGGATGTCCTGTTCATGGTGGAGGAATGGAGCTTTGAAACTCGGTCCCATCTGTTCTGGCGCCAGCCTACAGTACAGACTTTCCTGGCTACATGTGTTTTGACGCATCAGTCGGGATCACACAGGAGGACGGGAGCCCACACCCCAGACAGGCAGATTCGGTTAGTTATTGCCCCATGTTTAAATGTTTTCTTAGTACAATATGGCCCAATGAATCTATCTCTATCTGTAGAAAAAGAGTCATAAGATAGACGAACATGCGATGGATCCGCAGCAGCGTCAGCGGGGGCTACCTATACTGTACTTGCGCGATTGATTGTGTTCTCTCCTGCGGTGCTTCTTGGTTGTTTTCACGGCAACGGTCTTAACGCCCCTCCCGTAACCACGCATCAGGAGAGGTTCGAGCCCCGACGGAAAGGTGGGCACTTCTTCTCATGATGCGTGCGGCCTCGTTGAGTAGCGAGGAAACAACTTGGGTAAAAAAACACAACTTCTTACTGCCTTTTGCTGGGCCTCGCCATGTAGGGCACAAAAGTAACAAGGATGCGAAGGAGGAATAAGAACAGCTTCTGATTGCCTTTTGTTCGGCCTCGCCATGCAGGGCACAAAATAAAGTGACAAGGATGTGGAGGAGGAAAAAACAGCATATATTTGACAGGCTTGTTCGGCCTAGACATTGCAGGAAGCAACAAGGATTCGAAGGAGGAATAAACAGCCTTCAACTGTTGTCTATTTCGGCTTATCCATATAGGGCACCAAGTAGAAAGGATTCGAAGGAGGAATAAACATCTTTTAACTGCTTGGCCTCGTCATTGGAAGAAGTCAGTAACGAGTAAACAAAGGAGGAATAAACAGCTGCGTGTTCCCCCCACCTTTGCATATTTCCTCGGTCTGAGTCATTGACGCAAGTATAGATGCGGGGTCCCTTTGCGAGGCCGCATTAGTAAGGCAGATCGCCCTGTCTTGAGGCAGCTGTATTCGCCCGACACATACTCTATAGTGAAGTCGTACCAAACCCACCCTGCATAGCGCCGGGTCGCCGGGATAAGGCTGGCCAAATCCCTTGGGACTACGCCGGTTGACGCAGGGACCACTGCTGCTCTAAGCTCATTATCTAGGACCCGAATGAATAAACGGCTGCCGCCTCATCACTCTCCGCTTCATGGTCGAGCGAGTAAACATTTGCTGCTTCATCACTCTCCGCTTCACAGCTGAAGGGAATATACAGCTGCTGCCTCATCGCTCTCCGCTTCATAGTTGAGACAACAAGCAGCTGCTGCCTCATCATCAGTCTGCGCTTCTTAGTTGAGGGGATAAACATTTGCTGCTTCATCGCCCTCCGCTTCATAGTAGTTGAGGGAATCAACAGCCATGGTCCGATTACTCTCCCCTTCAAGTTGAAGGATTGCACAGCTGCTGCCTCATACCTCTCTGCTTCATAGTTGAGGGAATAAACAGTCGCGGCCTCATCACACTCCCTTCATAGTTAAGGGAATAAACAGCCGCTGCCTCATCACCCTCTTTTCATAGTTGAGGGAATACCATAAGGCGCGGAGATATGGCACCCCATCTAGACCGCCTCTCAAAGCACGATTGCTCATAACCAAGGGGGTACAGAAGGATACCGATACGTTCGGTGGAAAGCCGTTGATGACATGTTTCCAAAATCACCATTCACGGTGTTGGCATAGGTAACAATCGAGCTTTGAAAGTCGGTGTAGGGGGGGTGCCATCTCTCCACCTCTTACGGTCAACAGCTACTTCCTCATCGCTCTCCACTTCATCTTTCTCGGTAGACCTTGCCAACGGCTCCAAGTTCTCTACGACGACGAAAAACACTAGACACTCTCTGGAAGACAGAGATTGATTCGTTGTGCCAGCACAAGAAAAAAAACAAGAAACAACAAGAACTCTGCATAGTTATCCCATATCGATTGAGGGCTTGCTTGGACTCATCGCCGCATCCATTTTATTTCCAGCGACGATTGAAAGAAAAAAAAAAGAAAAATAACCTTACCAAACTCCTATCTCTCACTTGCTCGCTAGATCTTCGCGTAGACTCGAGAAATTCCTCGAAAAACGCAAATAACGCTGCCTACTTGTTTCCTATCCTAATTTGCTCCGCTTGGCCTGCTTACACTTGAGAAGTTTCTCAGAAAAAAAGACGAAAATAAACATAAAAATACTTTTTCTCGCTCAGCCCGCAATCCCTCCGAAAAACAACCAACATGTGGAGATCACACAAATAAATGAAGGGAACAATCTCCCAACGCACGTCGAGGACGGTTCCTCTTTTCACGAACACCGCCTCGTCTACTTTTGATCCTCATTTGCTCGCTCGGCCTGCTTGAACTTGAGAAACTCCTCAAAAGTGGGTGGTGCCGAGTATGACCCGCTCTGCTGTCTGTCGCTGTCGTCCTCCGGTTCATGAACGTCACCGAGCTGCGCCTTCTCGCTTTTCTGCTTCTTGGCAGACTGCTTGTTGGAGAAAAGGAAGACGATAGAAAGAAGCACGATGTCGGAGGAGACAAAGGGAACGGCCAAACACGAACATTTCCAGGCCCGACGATCAGAACATTAACATACTCCGTAAGGTGGCTTCCTGTTTTCTCGAAAAAAAGTAAAAAAACCAGGCAGGCAGGCAAGATACAACGGTTGTTGGCTTCGCACTCAAAACCGTCCTGATTTCGCTACCCGGTACCTTCACCTGTCCGTACTAGTCTCACACAAGTGCACGCATTAAAAGACAATCTGTGCAGGGGGGGGGAGGGGGGGTACTCATAGTCATGCATGCCCTAGTTGTTAGCCCGTTGACCTCGTGTGCTAGGAGGAGATGCGAACCGAGCCTGAGACTTTATTTCCCACAAGCAGCAAGAGCTAGACGAATTGGGGGCACCGCGACTGCTACGCCAATGATCACACCCTCCCAAAGACCGGAGCTAGACGAAGCGGAGGTTGTGCCGTTTTCGTGAGAGGGACCGCAAATCTCCTACACCGACTTCTCGATTCTTGATTGCTTCACAACACGTGAGGGGCGAAAACCGTCCAATACGTTTACAAAACCATGGAGAAGACGTTAGCCTCGACCCTTGTGGTGGGTACATATTGCTCGCCAACACACAGATTGAGCTGTTTGTGGGGCTAGCATAAGGTGACACTGACGTGATGAAACATGAATGGAAACTCTTAATTCAAAGCTGGTTGAAACGAGAGCGTCCATCTTCCACGGCCTTCCGAAAAGCTACGTGTACAGACGTTTTTTGAGAGAAAATTATCTTAAACCATGTCCACAGTTCAAGAGAACTGTGGCTAACACGGTAAAGATAATGGCGGATTTATGATAAGGATATTGGCTTTTCACCACCCTCTCTTAGACCGTAGCCACTACACTGCTGGTACGTCACAGCAGGATCCCCGGGGCGACAATGCGGCGAAACTTCAGGGGGGTGGTATCCAACGTAACCCTCCTCTGTCTTCTGCCCTTGCCTTTGGAAAGGACAAAAAGTCCATCGGATGTGGTTTACTACTGCTGTGAGGGGGTGTTTCTCTTGTTACTGCACTTCATTACGTGGAGTTGACCGACGTTACACTCTTGAGAAATGCCGCGAAAAACAAGTAAGGTCCGGTACGTACGGCAGTAGTGGTGCGGAAAGTACACGTACATGTACAGGTTGAACTCCATCCACAATGCACTTAGTAGAACTGCTGGGCATCGACGCATTTTTTGAAGCAGGGGGCACCAAATAACAGAGAGGACACATCAGTGCACGGTAACGGAGGCGTGGGCGAAGCGTGTCATGCGTAGTAGAACACCCCCCCCGGTGATCTTTCTCCTACCCCAGCTGCTTCAGATGCTCACTGCTGTGCAGCTGATCGATGCCTTCCAGATCATCGCACCTAACCGCATGATTTACAGCAGTAGCACAACAGTGCTATTCGGCATCTTCCCTGTGGAAATAGTAGATCGGGGATACAAGCTAACCTGCATCAGGTCCAGGGCTATATCACCAACAAGCTGGGTATGCTGTAGGCTACTACTCTGCCTACAGTATGCGTCGATCAAACGAGATTTTCAACAGCAGTTCGGGAGAGTTTGAAAACTCATCATCATTGTTTTTTTTTTTTTTATGCACGCTCACCAACGAAGTGCTGGTTGTTGAACGACGTAATCGGGAGGCCGCGATGGCGGTGGTGGCGTAACGGAGAGACGTGGCCGGTAAAAAGGCGACCGTGGATGATGCGGCCACGAAGGCAACCAAGAGGGAGAGGACGAGTTTCATCATGCTTGTGCGTGTTTGCTGGCCTGAGGTGTGTNGGGGGGGGGGGGGGGGGGGGGGGGGGGGGGGGGGGGGGGGGGGGGGGGGGGGGGGGGGGGGGGGGGGGGGTACGGATTCCATGTAGTGATATCACGGGGAGTGAAGGTGTTGCTGCGTGTGCGTGTACTGCTGGATCGGGCTGTGTGGGCGTGGTGTGTTTGCTCCCTTGACCTCTGCACCTCGAGGGAGTTCGGTGAGCCCTCGTGCCGTTGCTGCTCGTTGTCCAATGGGGATGCCTAGTGTGCGTCAAAAGGATGCCGGTCTGAGTTGAATTCCTATTGCCCATATTTTGTCCAATTCGCCTTTCACCCGTGTTGTTAGCAGACACACACACGCAACCGCCTGCCGCCACCATGAACGAATGAGTGCAGAGAGTTGGGTATCAGCAGGGTTAGAGCTGTTTCACTGCGCTTGCTGTTTGCTGAGAGCCGTTCCCGTGAACCCAGCGCACAGGCACCATAGCATCTACGCAGGCTACCGCGGGTGCACACAGGCAGGCTGTATGTAGGCCCTCCGTCAAAGCCCAGAGGCACCAACCAGTTCTTGACGTGCACACGCACTTAGGGCACGAAGCAGGGTGGCTGCTGAGGGGTGTGGCTGCCGCCCTGCTACGCGCGATGCAGCATAGACGAGGAGGCCTAATAGAAGATGTGTGTTCTCCGGTTCCGAAAGGGCGTTCAAATATCTTTTCTGCACCAAACCACGAAAAATGGTGGTATAAATCATGGTAATAGTAATGTCTGTGGTGTGTTGTTCCAAAGAGCAGAGCGAAGAAGAGGGCGACAAAACAAAGTACGCAAACAGTCAGCAAGGCCTCTTTTGGTGCAAGTCTCACCGTCTTCGGATAAGCTTGTTTCGTCTCCGGATAAGCTCAACACACCCACCTCAAACAGTAGTGTCTACGTTATTTAGTTTGCGTGCTGTGTCTCTTGAGCAACTCGTACGTACTGGATGCCTGCTCTGAGCACTATTTTCGGGAATCAGGTACGCTGGGAGGATTGTTGGAGGCATTACCGTAAAAAATGTGGGCCAACGCCCAGCAGCAGCCAGCACGTCGTTCTCGAACATATCTGTGCAGAATCGGATGCACTAGATGGGCACCTTGTACATAGAGCCTGTTAGCCACAGGGGAGAAAGTATGCGGCTGCGGGAGTCGTAGACACACAGGCACAGTAATACCTCCGCCATCGCTATGGATCGATTCTTTGCTGTTAATACAATATCCCGGACTGACTCTCACCGGTACATGTGCGGATACGCGAAAGACGTCGTAGAGTTGGAAGTCAAATCGTTTGTGTGTTTTGTCTCTTTGGTTCTTCTCAACTTTCAGCTGTATCAAGTACTTGACAACGAATCCATCTCTATCGAAAGAGTCGAAGATAGGTTAGCGATGAATTCATAGCATCAGCGAAGGTACCTCTATTTCTACGATTTTCCGAGCAGCCCACGGCGATATCTCCCCTGCGGCTACACCATGTAATAGCCTCAACACGACAGTTTGGTAGCCGCAAGCAACAAGAACTCGACCGTTCCACAACAAACCGGGGGGCTGAAAATTCGTTTGGCGTTTTTTATTTGGAATTTGAACAAATACCACCCACGCACAATGATGTTTGCTTTTGTTCGTTCTCGACATCGGTCTTGTTTGCTTATTATCTTCGTATTCCACAACGAATCCATCTCTATCTAGGGAAGAGTCTATAAGATATATTAGCAACGAACCCATAACGTCAGCGGAAGCTACCTGTATTTCAACGATTTCCTGAGCAGGACACATCTTATGCTTTAACCTTGCGGTGCAATTCTGGACGCATCATACCAGCCGGCATCACAGATAGTGGAAGACCGCACAGGAGTTATTATATTTGTATTGTCGTTTTTTTCACCTTCCTTCTGCGGTGCTTGCCTTGAGGTCGATGGCGAAAGAGACTTCCTTCGTTCCTTTCCCCCGTCTACCGTGGAGTCGAATTTTGCGTACACACGAAAAAATATCGCATTTTTACATCATTGTTTGGGCAGAGCTCGGTTGGCTTTTTATGGAAACGTTGGGGGGAAAAATCTGTGTACATGCAGTCATACGTAGGTCGTAGTTGCTTCCGTACGGCAGTCCATTTGCGCGGAAAGGTCGTCGTTCACCCTCGTGTTGTGGCTCCTGAACTGTCGGACTTCTTAACGCCCTTCTCTTCTTGTTGACGATATGAAGTTGAGACTCGAAAACAAGTCTGTTGGGTGCATGGCGAGCACAACATGTCTGCGACGCTGCTGCTGACGCTTCCTTTCTACCACGAGCCACGTGCCGCTGCTTGTGCATTGCGCAGAAAACACCTCTGACAACAGTTCAGTGCATAGGCTCAAAAGAAATGATCCCGGTACCAGCCGGTTCTTCTCCCACTCCCTGCGAAGACTCGAACACAATCCCCTTCGACTATTATGGTTGTATCTCGAACGAGTAGACCTTCCTATGAGTGTACTTGCATTTTTCTAACCCCCCCCTGTACTGGGGCATAGGAGGTGGATTGAAAAGGCGGGAAGGGATATCGTTAGGATAGACAGACTAGGGAAGACATTTTTGGGCCACCTTTGGCAAAGTAGAACGAACGATTGGCCATCGGTGATCGGTCCTGTGGGAACAACGCTCCGTCGTCTCGAGGACGCGTGGTCAATGGTCTAACCGCTAAGACATGCAAAACATAAGAGTACGCCCCCCCCCC